CAGGCTCGTGTTCCCTCCCGAGCCGCCAGTACCAACCAGGAGGGACACGGATCCAATAAACATGTGGTTGCATTCAGTCTCCCCAGGATCCTGTCCACGTCCTCGGGAGCCACAGAGTCAAACTCCTCCCATACAACAGTCTCAAGACCTGCCCTCGCCTCCTCCCCCGGGGCCACCCAGTCGGAGTCCAAACCCTCTCAGATCCAAGCGACTTTGTCATACAGATATTGTGCAAATTCCTCAGCCTTCCCCGCCAGGGGGTCCCCGCCCCCCCTCAATTGAAGGAGGGAGCGGGTCACCCTGAAGAGGGAGGCCGGGCGGTTATCTGATGACGCAATGAGGGTGGAGTAGTAATTCATTGAGATAAAAGTTTCACTTTCAGGAATCATTAAAAAAAAACTGCATACTATTAAAGCTTAACATGACTTTGGAACTTTTCAAAGCAGCACTTCATAATTTTTTTTATTAGTATTATAAAAAAGTGGGAGGGAAGAGATTTGTGATATCAAATTACTTAGATAAAATATAGTGCCTCAAATTGCTCCCAATATGAAATGAGCTGATGTTGGTGCGTAGGTGTTACCTGCACTTGCCAGAGCTGGGGTAGGTGTGGCTTCCACGTGACGCACCCGGCCCACGGGCTAGCAGTTTGACACCCCTGGATTCAAATATGTTACATTACAAATATTTTACTTAACATTCTATTTCATTTGTTTCCTTTTTTATAAAGCATAGAGATACTGCTATCAAAGTGTATGAAACTACTTTGTCAGTTACCTTAATCTATATAAGTGAGCAAGTCTACTCAGTAATCATCATTGATCTTAAGGAAAATCCCTCTGTTCTCTTATATTATTCTCGGTGGGGGGGGGTTTAAAGGTTTACAACTTAACAACATTTACAACAACTCAGCTTATGACCACAGTTGGGACCAAACTTTCTATTGTAAGTTGGTGCGATCATAAAGCAAGTCATGATTTTATGATCATTTTTACCATGGTCATTAAACAAATCATGCAATCATTAAGCAAGTCCAGCTTCCCCAATTGACTTTGCTTGTCAGAAACTGGTTGGGGAGGTCACAAATCAAGATCAAGTGACCCCAAGGTGCTGCAACCAACATAAATATGAGCCATTTGCAAAGTGCCCAAATTGTGATCTAGTGACTGATGGTGAGATAGTCATAACTTTGAGAATAAGTCATAAGTCACTTTTTCTGAGACCACTGTATCTTTGAACTATCATTAAACAATCGTAAGTCAAAAACTATCTGTAGCTTCACAAATTACAGTTAATATGATATGTTAATCTAAGGTAGATCTAAGGGGCATAATAAGAATGGAATTAATTTGAACTAATAGGAATGGAATGGAATGGAGCACTTTTTGTTTCTTCCAAAATTGGGAAATTCCCTGATACACACACACAAGTAAAGTATTAATATTAGTTAATTAGTTAAGAAAATAAACCAGACAAGTCAAACTTGCAATGTCACGTGACATAGCGCAATGTATCGGGACTGTTTTGTCATTGCCAGCAATGGAGTGGGTGCGGCTTCTGCGTGATGCGTCCGGCCCATGGGCCGGCAGTTTGACACCCCTGGTCTAAACTATATTAAGAGATGAAAATTCATGTTTCAGTATCTACAGAAGATCAAACTGACAGTAGTCAAGTTCCAGTTCTGCTAAGGAACTGCAACACAGCCGTAAACATTTAAATTGTTAAATGGAAATAACTATTTTGTCAACTTGTAATAATTAGAATGTAAAGCACTTGCCAATTCTAAAATCCTAAATCATGATAAATCCTAGATATGTATGGTTGAGGTCTTTTTTTTTTTTTTTTTTTTGGTCCTGTAACAAATATTTCACTGCTATCTTGCTTCTTTCAGTGGTGGCACTCCTAGTACCCGAATAACAACAGAATTCTCTAAATGGGCAAGTGATGGTGAGTATAAGATGTAGCAGACTGCTTATTGGCCTAGTAGATGCTTAGAGACTGAAGATGAATATTTTAGACTGCATTTTTGGGAGGTCACATTTTTGACAAGATTGAATTTTCCTTTGTATACAGCACGGGTGTCAAACTCGCCACGTGACGTGTCACGACGTATCAACTTTTTTTGCATTGCCTGAGCTGGGGGTGGGCGCGGCCTCCGTATGATGCTACTGGCCCACAGGCCGGCAGTTTGACAGCCCTGGTATACAGTATAATTCAGAGTTCCTAATCCATGCATTTTATGGACATGGTGATGAATGCATTAGAACAACCAAACCTTAAGTAAAATCATGGAGGTAGCTTGAAGGGATATTTATCGTACATTTTCTGCCTTCAGCATAGTCAACATCAGATAAAGATCTTTGAATATGCAAAGTTTTCACCTATTTAATACATTTTTTAAAATTTGGCTGGTTATCTTTTTATTTCACTTACCTTTTTAAATGCATCTTATTCTAATTTCTATTGGCTGCTTGGGAACGATTGCTCTTCTGAAAAGTAGGTTACAGGTTTTTAACATAATCTTTTTAGAATTGAAGTATGCTTATTTAATAGTGTAAACTATGGAACCCAAAACAATGTTAATTTTTATACTTGTTGAATACCTATACTTGAACAAAATAATATATGTGCATGAAGTCTAAATGAAGAAAGTAATGGTCGAAATTCAGTTCTCTTTCTCTGATGTTGGCTTTCCAGAGGTATACATATACAGCATAATCATCCTTAAATTCTAATTTGTATAAGAATAATTAAACCTGTGATCTCCATATATTTTTCAATTTTCTTTAACAGCAGCCAATATGGTTAATAGCAAAAGCTGGTAGTCCAAGGCTTCTGAAGATTACCAGCTTGTCTCATTCTGAAAATTTTTTGAGGATATTTAAAATGAGCACTCAGCTTCATTATTGTGTGATTAGCATTCTTGCTTTTTTTTTTAACAAGGTATTTAAATTTTTAGAAAGAGCTTTTACACATACTGTGGTTTGATATGTATTTGAATAAACTTTCTTCATTGATTGAGTTCTTCCTCCTCTTCATAGAAATGCCATCAACAAGTAATGGGGAAGGTAGTAAACAAGAGCTTGCGCAAAAGACTTGCAAGAACAGTGACATAGAGAAGTAAGTATGAATTGTGTGTGTATATATTTGATGGTAACAGGTGCAACATTACAGAAGATGCCTTGCAGCTTATCACTATCCAAAACTCAGGCATAGATATTTTTTTTCCAAGTAAAACCACACAGCTTTTAAAGCTGGCACTCTCATAGCTGAAAATCAAAGGTTTTCTTTCGTATCCTTTTGTTTTTTTAGCCTTTATAGGAATTCCATATCTGTAGAAAGATAAAAATCCATTTTGGTATATTGGCTCTAAAAGATGATTTTATGTTTCATTTCTAGATCCTCGGTGTAGTTTCTGAGGCTTTAGAGGGATGATAGCAAATCTTATCCTTGTGTTAAATTCTCTATAGTATCAAAACGCTGCCCTTTTCTTTCCCCCTGGGATGTGTTATTTTTCAAAAGACTTACTCGTTATGCCCTTTCTCCAGAATAGAATTAGATTATCTTAACCTTCATTTCCACTGGGAATGAGTAACATGAGACAGATCATTTTGCTCTACAAAGAGTGGTGACAAACCAAAAGAGGGGTTCATAGCAATGCACAATGCTGTCCCATCTTCTTGCAGTCAGGCAGGGCCACACACAGTGATATTTAAGCTTTATTTCTTGTGAGTTCTGGGTAGAATGTAGATTGCATTGAAATCTTCAGCAGAGAAATACTTAAAATACTTAAATTGCTCATTAAGTGACATAGAATAATACAGGTGCAAGAAGTCTTTTTAGCTGTGCATACTATGTAAAATGTGACCAGGTTCACACAGATAACTCATTTTTAAAAACATTCCTCTGAAAGAAGAAAAATATGGCAAATGTGTGTAAAGTCTTCTGAGGCTGTATCGTGCACTAATACATTGTTTGCAGTGATGATATGCGTTATTTGGGTAGTTCTAAGAATTGAGAAGATTACCGTAGGGTAATCTGGTATATATGCACATTTTAATCATGGAAAAGCATATTGGAATGCCTCTGCAGGAACACAACATTCTGCAGCAAGCTGGTAATACTGTCTTTTATGTTGGGCAAGTATATATATAGTCTTCTGCGGTTTGAGTATTGTACTGAACTTTGAGTGGTATGTAAGGGCCACACTCCAAAATCAGAGGGGTTAGTGGATGTTAATATATTCAGTAATTTCCTCTATAAAATAAATTACTCTCCCATTGTTTTCTATCATTCCTACCTACAAAATTGATTTTTATTCTAATAAAAGCATTCTAATTCTCTCACTCAAAATATAGGGGTTTTTTTAAATTTACATCTGAAATATTGCAAGCAGAAAGGGCGAAAATATACCTCCAATTGATTCATTGTAGCTGTTTCAATTCTAGAAATAATTCCAAATAACAGAAGCTGTAACCATTCTCTGATGGACTGACTAGCTACAGAGTAAGGATTAAAAGTTAGAAGACAAGAAATCACAAAAACAACAGTTGAAGGAAGGCTAAAGTAGAAAGAAAAATGGAGGGGAAATAAAAACAACATGAATTTAAGAGATGGCATGGAGTTCAGGAAAAAAGATAGTGGAAAAAATAGGTAATTGTAGCTAAAGTGCTAGAATACGGTGGTGTATCTTACTGCAAATTTTACTAAAAGCTGCTACTTTATCAGAAGACAAGAAGAATAGTCCACATTTAAAACAGCTGGAGCAATAGCACTTTGGAGCAGGAGATAACACAAAGACACATATTTTGCCTTGTGCTTCCTTGTCTTGGTAGAGAAATTGTTAACACTTGATAGAGCCAGATCTTACCTAATGAGCTTTGCAGGATTTTGGTTTAGGTGATGTCTTATACTTAAATTCTTGGTAGTAGTTTCTGTAAACAGCTGGGGAGAGCAGAGGGAATTTTTGTTCTTTCACAATTTAAATATTTGCCTTTAAGTATTAAAGGGAGAAAGAAAGATAATTCTAATGAATTACTGTCACAATGCAGCTTTTCAGCTGTGCCAACTTAGTATGTGTTTCTCTCTGTGCTCTTCACTGCAAGGAAGAGCAGGAAGTTAAAATGAGTTGTTACTTACCTCCACAATTTGGGTTCACGTTAGCTGAGGGACATTCAGATCTGGGGCAGCATGCACTGTTTCTGCTTTTTAGGAGTAAATGGGGTTTAGGGGTCACAGACCAGCATTTGAGGTAGGTGGTGTATGGTCAGTTTATGGACCTCTGGTGGATGCAAAGGAATTTAGTTTTAGTCTTGTCCAGCAGCCTGTCAGTTTCATTGGTTAAGAAGTCTCCATAGTTGTCAGTCTTCTCAAATCTTAGCCTTTAAAATTGAAAAACACTTGTCCAAATGATGAATTGGTAGCATCACTTTGATCACATTATCTAAATGTTTCATTCAGAGCTGCCCGGAGGAGTCTAAACTTTTCTAAGTGATGCATACAATAATTTTGTCCTGTGAAATATAGACTTGGTGCTTCTTTGTGACAAATCCTGATATATCATGGAACCTTCAGAAACCTTTGGCTTTCAAAGACCAAAATTAAACTTGGACAGTCAACCTCCGTAACCTTTCAGAAAAAGTAAAAGCCAATTACCATTTCTTGCTCTTGACAGCAGTTCTTTCATAAGATATCCTTTCTGGAAATAGGTTGCTGCCATTAGTTAGAGGCTCTTAACTCCATTGGGAGCAGAAAACAGTAGTTAGAAGCAAAGATTCTAGCCGTTTTATCCTACTTTATCCAGAATTTATGTGTGATAAATTGTTGCTGCTGTGATAGTTAAACAGTTAGAATGCTGTGTGTGAAGAGGTGGGTTCTGTTAACTTAATTGATAAGCAGTATCAGACCTTGGGGCCTGACAAAAAGGTGGTGGTTTTTTTTTTATTCCTACTGTCTAGCTGCTTCCACCTGCACTGCCAAGCCATGATATATGGTGACCCAGTCCAGCTAGCTAAATTGATTCATCTCTAGTTCCTCGCTCTTAATCTGGAGCTAAATTGGTTTCATTTTTCTTCTTTTGGATGGTGCTTGTGGCGGGTTCTCTGTGGGAACACTTCCTTCTGTTCATAACTTTAATTTTTGCTTTTAAATCTGGACATTATTGATTATTGTGTTAAGCTCCATATAATGTCTGATTAGCATTTTAAAAAGTGTTTAGAAGCACATGGTTTATCACTTGTGTCAGCTGGGCTGCCCACTTAGAACAATGGTTAATGGAGTTAGCAGTGATTCTCTTTATTGATCCTACTTTTATAAGAATGACATTCATTTTCTTTCCTCTTTCCAAAACAAAGTCTTGGTATGGAGAGTATCTTTTTAATTAGCTAATACAATACAGTAAACTGCCCTTCCTCTGGTGCAGAGCTAATGTACTTGGGTTGAAAGTTAATGGAATATGTGCTGTGGGCTTCTTGGAGCTAAATCCCTGGCATGTCAAACATCTTGCCTCAGTAAGAGATGAATTTGCTGGTTGTTCCCTTGAGGATCATCTTGGATCTGCTTTTTGTTTAACTAGCTTCCATTTCAATCCAACTTCCTCAGTTGCTGCTTGAATTTGATATAATAACTGTCATTGGCCCAATTCATTTGCTATTCTGCAAAAACTCTGCTACTCTGTGAGGAATGATTTTTAAAAAGGGATTCTTTTAATTTGTATTGCATAAATTATTCCTTCACTTTTAAATCTATTACTTTTAGATTTCTTTTTAAAAGAAATTGATTAAAATTGAATACTACTAGAAAATAGTGTGTAGAATTAGACAGTTTAGACAAAGCGTATCAGGATTTTTTAAAATATATAATTTTATTAATATTTTATTTTAATCACATTTTAAATTTGTATATTGTATTGTTATTCTGTTTTAAACTGGCTGTAAGCCGCCCTGAGTCCACTAGGAGAAGGGCGGGGTATAAATGCGATTAATAATAATAATAATAATAATAATAATAATGTATGATTATAATAGTAAGAACTAAAACTAAATGTGGAGAAAGAATAGAAAAAAGAAAATGCATAGGGAAAAAGAAAATAATGTAATAAAGAAAAAATATGTAAATAAGTGACTTCCAATCTTCATCACAAGTACAAACAAATTTAGTAATTTTTCACACACCCCTAAAGTTACAAAAAGAGATATCTTCATCCCATCCCTTATTTATAAGCAAATCTTTAAATCATAAACTTTTAAATCCTGATATTAGGAAAAAGCCCATAAAGGGTTACCACAACTTTACAAAAAAAATCTTATTTTAATCTTGATGAAATAGACCAAATTTATATTCCTTCTTTTGCCTTAATCTTTAATTCAGCCAAATATTATTATAGAATTTTAATTCTCTTCAATGTTTCTTTATTTTCACACTTCTTTGGAGCTTTTTTTCATGGCTTTGACAAGTTTCTTTTATAAATCCAATAAGAAATTTCAGTAATTTCTATGTAAAACTTCCATTCTACTCTATAATATCATGCTTTTGATTCAGTCAAGACTATCTCTCTGTTTGATGGAAACATTTTGATTTTAAGTTATTTTACTATTAAACTTTCACTATGTCATTTAAAGGATATGTACATTGTTCCAGGTCATTCTCTTTGTTTATTATTTGTATTTCCATTTTAATTTTTAAACTTTAGCTAGTTTCTTTTGTATATCCTTTTCCAAATCATTCTCTTGGTCTGTTATTTGTAGTTTCTCTTTTGGTACTTTAAAAATAAAGTAGTTTTCACATCTGTTATTCCATCATTAACATTTTTGGGACATTATAGAAGCAGGCATCATTATTGACAGTGTTGATATTGTACTTACTTATTTCTGGCTCCATTTTTCAAAGATCCTCTTTAATATTTCTGATGTTATAACATGCTGTGTCATTTTGTAAAAAGTTTTAAGTGACATCAAGAACAGACTTGTGTTTTTTTCTCTTTCTGTTTAGAATCTTTACTCCCTTCTAGGGTCTAAAAATCATAAGTTCTAAAATCATAAGTAACTTTCCTTTGTTATGATTTACTATAGCCAGGATAGCCAAAATAAATCTGTTTCCCATGAGGTCATTTATTTTTTATT